TCTGTTAATGTGGAGATGTTTAGTGCACTTGTACTCTTTTATTGTCTGTCAAACATGGGGCTGCAGACACTGATTGACGTTACCAAATTTGATCAAATTTTAAACAACTACCATTTTCTTTAAAAATGACAGAGGTTAAAGAAAGTAATGCAGTGGGTCCCCGGACACTCAGACATACCTGGAAATAACAGAGCAGACACACTTGCCAAACGGGGATCTAGACAGGAACAACCCAACATTCAGGGTTGGTGATTTTTTTTATTTTTTTTTTTTTTATTTTTTAATCGATTTTTTAAATTTAAATCCGATTTTTTTTAAATTTTAATCCGATTTTTTTTTTTTTTTTTTTTTATGTCGACACAGTTTGGGATTTTTGGTGGCTAAAAGTATGTTCTTTTAGTGCAAAATGCATTGTCTTTATTTTAAGTAATGATTGATGTAAGCAACTGCAAAAGAAAGCCTTAATCTGTTATAATGGCTAGAGACAAAAAATGAAGAAAATATCAGTCTAAAAGTTAATTATGCATTGATAAAATTGCATTTTATTACAGTGTGTGTGTGTGTGTGTGTGTGTGTGTGTGTGTGTGTGTGTGTGTGTGTGTGTGTGTGTGTAAAGAAAATGCTAATTTCAATTATGAAAAAAAGGATATTGAATACTGGAAAGCAGACTTTTAAGCATGATTATATTAGTCTACTAAACCTTATATCTGTTTTATAAAACCAAGGAAAGGACTTCTGAATGTTTGAAGATGTAAAAACAGAATACATTTTTTTAAAGTGATTTAAATCACTGATTTTTATTTTAAAAATCAAGTTGATTAAAATAAAAAAATTAACTGATTTAAATCAACCCAGCTCGCTGATTTCAATAATGGAAAAAAAAAGTAAATTGAATACTGTATTATTTTACAGTGAAAGGGGGGAAAGCAGACTTTTAAGCATGATTATATTAGATCTAGTCTACTAAACCGTTTATATCTGTTTTATGAAATCAAGGAAACGAATTCTGAAGGTTGAAATATGTTAAAAACTGAATAAAAATGTAAAAAAATTTTAAGTGATTTAAATCACTATTTTTGTTTTTAAAATCAAGTTGATTTAAATTTAAAAAATCAACTGATTTAAATCAACCCAACCCTGCCAACATTCCAACTTCATACAACACTGCAAAACAAATCATCAAAAGCAACAACAAACAAGATTGGATGAACAGATGGGCCCTGGGAAAGACAGGCAGAGCAGTTTTCAAACATATGACCACAACAAAAAGGAATGACAATATCAACCACATACAGAGAAAGAAACAGACCACGATCTTCCGCCTACAAACAGAACATATACAGCTCAACTTCCACCTGAATAGAATAAACCCGGAACTTCCCCCACTGTGTCCCTTGTGTGACTATGCATATGAGACTGTGGATCATCACCTGTTCCACTGCACAGCCCTAAATGACATCAGAGCGACCCTTCTCCCTCCGAGACCTAACAGTGACAACACACTCTATGGAACTTTACAGCAACTGCAGCAAACCTGCACTTACCACTACATGGCATTGGACTGAAGGGCGAGAGCCCAGCTGTTGCTGGATTGATAACAACAACAACTTTAACCAGGCCTAAATTGGTAAAAGGAAAAGTAGGCTATACTAAGGCCTACTTTGTACAGAGCTCCTCTTGGGGACAAAACCAGAATATGCCTGCTTTTTCACTACAGTACATAAAAAAACTACAAAGCAACAAGATATAATAATGGGAACAATTTGTTGGTCAGTCGAGAAGAGGACAACAACAACAACAACCAAAAAAGGAAAAAAAAAAACGTCCAGGACCGGGATCGAACCCACGCTAAAACAATAATAATGGCTTGACTTCAAGCGCAAACGCGCTGTCACTTCGGCCATCAGAACTTCCGATAACGATATGTAGCAATGACCACGAAAAACCTTTTTTTGTCAGAAAGTGTTTGCAAATACGTGCATTTTGTAGCTCTATCTCCACAGAGAATGGAACTTTTTGAATTTTTGAAATCCATCAATAAACAAAAAAGTTACGAATTTTTTAATCAATTAATTTTTGGTACACTTTTATATTTATAATTATAAAGAAAAAAACCCAAAATATGGGACGTTCTTTGGTGAGTTTTGAGACAATATTCAATATTCGTCATAACTAGCTCATTTCTCAGAGTATTTTTGAAACTTGGCAACCCAGTACATTTTCTAGTGCAGAATCTAGTCCTGCTTTCAGATTTTTCATATCTACCCTACTTTTTGAGTTATGAAGACGTTTATAGGTAAAAATGTGGCGGTTTTCGGTGCGTTTTGAGACAATATTTGAACCCAAATGGCCGCTGGATCGGAAAAGTAAAGTAAGTCATAGCTCATCTATTTCTTGGAGTATGTATGTAAATGAAACTACTTGGCAGTCTAGTACAGTTTTTGATGCAGAATCTAGTCATGCTGTCAGATTTTTAATATCTATCATACTTTTTGAGTTGTAAAGACATTAACAGGTAAAAAGTGGCGTTCTTTACAGATTTACAAAGATTATCAGTCATATCTTCTCCCAAAGTCATGATATTTGAATGAAACTTGGCAACATAAAAGGTTCCTCCTTGCCAAGCATTGATCTGGATCAATTTGTCGCAAAAATGTAAGTAGAGAATTGGATTTTTTGTCTAATAAATCCAGTTCTCTACTAGTAAAAGCATGCATACTTTGTTATAGAAAATAAGATCGTCTCTGTGTATCCATTGTTGGTCAGTGTCCTATTGTGTGGTAGATTAAGATGCGTGTTTAGATCATAGTTTACAAGTCATGGGAATATTTCGCACATGTAGGCTACAACTCATGACTATAATTTACTATAAATGTAACATATTATTTACACCCCCGCCCTTCTCTCTCTCTCTTTCTCTCTCTCTCTCTCTCTTTCTCTCTCTCTCTCTCTCTCTCACGCACACACACATGCACGCGCGCGCACTCACGCACGTGTGAACGACAACAATGTATAAACGGGACTATCTTCCCAGACTGGACTGAATAAGTACCGTACTCTTTAATAACAATCTTAATGCCTCACTTTTCCAAACAGAGCACACAGGACGAGTCCAAGTGTGTGCTTTTCCCCAGAGGGGGGAATAATGAATATGCTTTCATAACGCAAACACAATGCCATCCACTTCTCAAGATGTTTGCTTTTCTGTTTCTATTCTTCTGTCATGCAATCAAGTGCTCAAATAAAAATTACTACATCTATTGTATTGTGACTAAAATGCAACAAAAACGCAAGTTATCAAGGACCCCGTTTAGTTTTTAAGTATCCTTCCCCCCCTTTCCATTTCACATTATAAGCGGGGCCTCGTTTGTAGCGCCCGAGGCGACCGATGGCTGATGACGTCACTCAGTGGAAATTTCCAGGCCGGCGGCCGTTCACCCAGCACGCGCAAATGGCAATGTCGCCTTTTCCCTTAGTTACTCTCACATTTTTGAAGATTACGCCAAAACCGCAAAACACAGAAGCATGAAAATTTAAGGGAATAAAGAAATATGGTGTACAACGTATCAGTCAGTTTGACAAATCACAGCTCCGAAAAACCTTCAAAGCGCACCACATCAACCACTTTCGCAAACGTTTTCGACTGCTTCTAGGATGGGTACAATGTTGTCAAACTGCATACTACGAGATTGACCTCTTTTCTGATTAGCTACCAAGTTTCATTCATATATCCATTTACGAGAAGCGGCGTGAGTGTGAGAGCGAGTTGAAGACAACAACCTTTGCGTTAGTGCGTCCCACGAAACACCCCCGCGGCGGGGGCCAAAAATCGGCGGTGCTTTTTCGGTAGTTCCCACCCCCCTTATTTGAGCCTGACCTACATCTAGATCTAGATCTATACTTTTGATTCGCGGTGAGCTAATAAGATCAAACCTAACTGCAAAACATTAAATTATGGTAAAATTCAGGGGGGCATGCCCCCCTGAAACCCCCCTTTCTATTTTTATTAGGTCAGGGGGGCATGCCTCCCTGAAACCCCCCTGCTCTTGTGGCCCAAACCCGTGAATAAAATTTTGCGGTGGGAACTACCGAAAAAGTGCCAAATCGGCAAAACAAAATGCGCTCGGTGGGCATTACTACGATATGCGCAGATTAAGCTTGATATTTTACACACGGCGACATGGAGTTTTATTTAGCACTGGCGCTAATTGCAACGCAGCGTTTTATTTAGCACTGGCGTTAATCGCAATGCAGCGTTGCAAATAGGCACTTCCGTATCTTTAATCTCACTCAGGCTCAGGGTGAGAATAGCCACTTCCTTCCTTAAAGTAGAGTAGAAAATCTGAGCTGAGCAGAAAAATCACTCTCACAGAGGCGTCAGAGGCCTTCCAGTCAGAAACTTGAAATGATCTTTGTAGCTAGATCTAGATCTAGATTTCTAGAACTAGAATCTAGATCTAGATCTAGATCTAGACTCAAATATCCTCGTCTCTAGATCTAGATTTGGATCTAGGTTTCTAGATCTAGATCTAGATATCTAGATCTAGATCTAGATATCTAGATATTATCTAGACTTTAAATTTCTACTAGATCTATTCTAGAATCTCTAGATTCTAGATCTAATCTAGAATCTAGATATCTAGATATAGATCTAGATCTAGATATCTAGATCTAGAATCTAGATTTGATTAGATCTACAAAAGTAGCCTGACCAATGCATTCACTTCACGAAAAAAAATTCGAGCAATAGAACTAAAGAAACGTACTTGGATGAAAAATACTAGATCTACATTAGATCTAGATTTAGATCTCTAGGCCAATAAGTTCTTTCCCAAAATCGGGATTACAGTCCAAAAGAAGAGTGAAGAGAGGGGGCGTGTCATGTGATGTTGATCTTGAAGACTAGATCTAAATGTTTCGAACACGATTAGAATTAGTAGAGCACGACTAAACGAATAAACCCTTTCGGTGAGCTTACGTTCTCGTATTAGAATACAAACCTCCGTTCATTTAGAGAAATACCATATCCTCGTCTCTTAACGAACAATAGACAGAGATTCTTCAAAAGAAAATATATCGTTCGGTGAACTATCATCACAATAGCTTCCCCATTTCAGGAGGCCGCCATGTTTGTTGTGATAACTTCCGCTTCCGCTTTGATCGGCTTGCGGTTGTCTAATCCCAACCAAAGAGTCTACATAACAAGAGGGGTCACTTATCTCTTTGAGTCAATTAAAAAAGTGTCCTCAAAATTCGGTGGCGCCATCTTCGCAAAAGCGCACCTTTAGCGAACAGAGTTATCCTACTTGAGTTTAAAAAATCAAAGTGAAACTAGCAAGTTTTTGAATGAATTTCGGAAGAACGCTTTTTTTTAATGGTTACGCTGACAAAAAAAACCTCTTCCGGAGGAAAGGGTGATTGTTTTCTTCGTTTAATTTGACTTTAGAATGAAAGGCGAGAGGTCATTAAAATTTTTAAAAACTAAAACTCCGTACTGAACGAACCCGAACTGCTGATGAACAGCAGTCGATCTGCGCACGCAAGGAGGTGCTATTCCTATTCTTCTTCTGGGAAAACGAAAGAGAGCTTCAAAACAGACTGCAGCGCCATCTGAAGCAAAGAGCATACTTCCTGCGGACACTTTTTTGGCTGAATGGCCCATCTTGTTATTTACTATCTTTGTCCCAACTCCCGAATAGACCTTGGTGTACTCTCGATTCTCGAGCTAAAACTCGAGACTTTCTTTTTTAAAGTATTCTTATTCATAAATATATATAATTATTATGTGTATATATATATATATATATTATATATATATATATATATGATTATTATGTGTGTGTGTGTATGTATAAATACATATTATACATTTTAATTAAGATATTGCTTTCCTTTGTGTGTGCAAATTAGATGCTACTGTAGTCTAAATGGTGATATCTAGAGGCTCCATAAGAATATGAAATCAATACTCAACAACTATAAAGATGAATATTTTCTATGTTAAAAAAACACCAAACCATAGATCAGATGAGGGGAGAGGGTAGGGTGGGGTGGATAAGAGTTTGAGTCTTGTTAGATAGAACTATACTCGGTTTAATTCTATTGTTGTAGTCTTCACCTAAGATCCCACAATCAATAATTCCGGTTAACTTAAGATTCTGATGTTAAAAAATAAACCAAACGAAGCAACAACAAATTTTACTACACAAGAGTCATCACTAAGATAAATTATCCTCCTCTGGGGTGTAATAAGGGACTAAAAACGCTGCTCTCCATAATATCATACTTAACTGAACAAAAAAAACAACCCCAAAAACAAAAACCCTTCAAAGGTCATGCACGCTCATGCATACGATCACACCTCCAAAGGTGCTGTTATCTCTTTTTTTAAATTGAAATCATTGTGCGCTCCACTTTGTGAAAACCAGGAAACAAAATTATTGTAATCAATAATATTATTATTTATAGACCAAGACATACTTTTAGCAATCAGCTAAAGCTGGCATCGACCCTCTTTTGTGTTTGCTATTCCTTACACATAAAGTTCGTTATGGCACACGCCTAGAATCATGCAATCATATCTTAAATTCAGTTTAAAAGTATATTTTTTATCTATTTCTTATAATTAAATATTTTAGCATCTTGAAAGATTATCTTTATAATTTGGTATGTTTGATAATTTTATGTTACTCGGACAAGTTTTCTTCTTATTTTAGACATCTTTTTTATTTTTAAACTGGATTATAACATAAAACTCTTAAAGAATTGAACAGTCCGTATCACACACATAATTTTTTTCTTTTCTCCCTGTCATTATCCGTCAGCCCGTCAGTTGATCACAATCTCTCTCTCTCTCTCTCTCTCTCTCTCTCTCTCTCTCTCTCTCTCTCTCTATCTCTCTCTCTCTCTCTCTCTCTCTCTCTTATTTAATTTTCCCATTCTCCTTTGTCCCATCCCAAGGCCCGCCCCTTCTCTTTTATCCCAGCCCCATCCCCTCGTCCTTGTGTGCACTCCCCCACCCCGCCCACCCCCACAACGTGGCCCAGCCCGATAAGATTCTATAAAAAGAAACGCCAGTTTGTGATTTAGCCCACAGTCGGCCGCCATGTTTGATCCCCACTGTGGCGTACTGCTCGTGGCGCCGCGAAGAATGAGGGGAGGCTCCATTAGTTCTAAACTCCTTGATTTAGATCTAGATTCTATATCGGTTGTCATTTGTCATGAGAGCACAGCATGACCTGATCACATGATCTCTGCCAAATCGGATTCCTAAGAAATAGGCGAATAACTTTAGCTGTGCTTTTCACTATGGGGGTAAAAAAAAAATGCAACTAAGACGATTTTTTGTGACATTAGAAATAGAAAACCTTCCTCTATAACATACTAAAAATTGGCATGAATTGGAAAGGAGGAAATTTGTTTTTAAAATGTCGTTTCATAGTATAGTATCGAAATAGTCATATATCGATACCAAATTAATTCAGAATCGCACGCCTTATCTCACACAATGATAGTAAATAACAAGATGGGCCACTCAGCCAAAAAAATGTCCGCAGGAAGTATGCTCTTTGCTTCAGATGGCGCTGCAGTCTGTTTTGAAGCTCTCTTTCGTTTTTCCAGAAGAAGAATAGGAATAGCACCTCCTTGCGTGTGCAGATCGACTGCTGTTCATCAGCAGTTCGGGTTCGTTCAGTACGGAGTTTTAGTGGTTTTTTTTATTTTAATGACCTCTTGCCTTTCATTCTAAAGTCAAATTAAACAAAGAAAACAATCACCCTTTCCTCCGGAAGAGGTTTTTTTGTCAGCGTAACCATTTTAAAAAAGCGTTCTTCCGAAATTCATTCAAAAACTTGCTAGTTTCACTTTGATTTTTTTAAACTCAAGTAGGATAACTCTGTTCGCTAAAGGTGCGCTTTTGCGAAGAGGGCGCCACCGAATTTTGAGGACACTTTTTTAATTGGCTCAAAGAGAGAAGTGACCCATCTTGTCTTGTACTATCTTTGTCTCACAACAGACACCAATATTATTATATTACACCACTGAGGTGGGCGGTTCCGTTTGGGTTTTTTTTCGGTAACCGAAGATTCCCGATTATTAAAGGCCAAGAATCTTAGGAATCGGCTCCGAACCCAATTAATTTCTTTATAGCCAGTGATGTGATTTCTTCCAGTGGCTCTATGATTTCTTCCAGTGGTTTCGACCCGTAGCCAGTATTTTGATTGTATATGCAGCAAGGAGATTAAAAGTTCTAAGCTCCTTGATATGCAGTGACTAGCAGTAAGCCCGACCCCGGCAATGACCTCCAGCGAGTAGCAATTAGTCCGGCTGCGCCGCGGAACAGCGACTGCTGACGTTATTTTACCGGGGAACAGCGACCGGGGAACAGCGACCGGGGAACAGCGACTAGTATTTTACTATATTTCTTTGTAACTGTTGAACTTGGTGTAATCGCCTACAGTATCGAATACAATTAGACTTAGACCAAACATGTTACATCAAAGAGTCTACATTTCGTCTCGATTTTCAGTAAGCTTAACTTGAGCTCAGTCAAATCTCCCGCCTATCCGTTCATAATGCAAAACATTGAGACAAGTTGATCACAGCGTAAAGCAATAAGGAGCTGTCGCAGGGAGAGTTTTAAAGGAAAATTTCTTTATGCTCTCAGCTCAGTAGCAAGTTTGAAAACATTCTCCAGAATGTTCTTAGAGTTTGAACTTTTGTTTTTATCTCTTTGCATTGTCCTCTTCAGGTGGATGTCATTATTTTCAG